GTGTGTATACATATTTGTTTTTTGTTGTTGTTTTTTTTGGTTTTGTACAGGTCTGTGAAGCACCTTTCGTTTGCGTCCCCTGTTGCTTTTTAGAGCTGATGTCACCGGTGAATTTCTCCATTGTGACATCAGTAAAGCCCTAACTTATCTATCTTATCTTATCTTAAGGAAATAACGTGGGGTGCACATTTTATTCTAAGAATATCTTTCTACACTATTACCAGAATTGTTGGTCTGTACAGAAGTAGTTGACTTATCATGGCATTGCAGTAAGATAGATATATGTATGTCTAAGCACACAAAAACTGTGCTTGTCTTGTGTTTTGTGATAAACATTTTAGTAACTGTCATGGTAAGAAATTTAGAAAGTAGATATCTGTTCTTAAAATAACTAGGATTGCACAACAGGTTTGTTTTACGTATGTGTCAATGTTTGTGGTGCTTTAGCTTTTTCCTGACTCATCTATAAACAGTGAGGTCAGAGGTCACAGAGCAGAATAGTGAAATGCTCTGACATTTGAGGAAAGTAGATATGGGCTGAAATATATACAGATTAGAGATGACTGAAAATCCAGGAGTGAAGAGCTATAAAGACATGCCTCAATTAACCCATGATGCACTGGGGCAGTGGTGGATGAAGTACTCCAACTATTATAACAAAGAAAACGCAACTCTGATTGGAAAACTCATTCTACTGAACAACGTTGCCTCATGGCAACAACTAAAGCCTCAATAAAATATATTAACCATAAATAATATCTGCCCTGAGTTTCTCACATTTGTGGAACATCATGACAATCTCTAAAACAGTGGTATCCAAATTCCGTCCTAAGGACTGCTATCTGGAATGTTGAAAATGCATCTCAAGAAACAAAAACAGCAACAATGGATTACAAAGCGAACCTGAGCCAAAAAGAACAAGTAACTAGCAGTTTCCTTGAAACTGACTCTGAAATGTAGTGGAATGAAATAGGAATTACTCAAGTAAGATAAAGATACTAAAAAAAACACTACTTAAGCACACTAATCAAGTAAATGTATGTTGTTACTTTCCACCACTGACTGGGGATTTCTTTAATCGGATTTTCCTCTTGAGATCAATTTTATATTTTTTGGGTCCAATGTGGGGGATTAAGATTATTTTAGGATTACCTCTATTGATCAAAGGATGTACCTCAAGGAGTGATCCTTGTGTCATTCGCATGATTTTCTTGTCATGGACAAGCCATGCTGAGACAGAAGAGAGCAATGGTGTTTCTTCAAAAATAGTTAGCTGTGGCACTTTAAAGTAAACCAAAATCTATATGTCTAGATGTGTAATGTTGGACATAAACACCTCTGCCTAATTCTACAAAATAGTTCCTTTGGATCTGTGCTGCTTAATTTTGGAAAGTTAACACAGTAATAGAATACTGCCAGCCTGAAAAGTGAACTATGTGAGGGGGGATTGTTCTGATTTACAACATAAAAAAACAAAGAAAAAAAATCAACAGAAGGCTTACTTAGAACAAATTTACAGAAATATATTTTATTGTCAAGGTTTTAACCCTAACCTTTCCTCTCAAGATATGCTGATAATATTTTTTTCTTTGTGGGAAAGTTGAATAAAGCTGATATACATACATAAAGATAAACTAACAGATACAAGTTATATATTTTTAAGCATTATTCAGCATTGCACAACACAACAATAATGTTAAACTGTTCAAAGAAAGAAAAAATGTGTAGAGCCCCTTTAATTTTTAGCCAGCCAATAAAAAGCCTGGGTTCAAGAACTCATCCAATCATCTTCACGTTTTTTGCGGAGGCGGGGTCAAATGTTACAGCTCGACCAATAGGAGTGAGCGTAATGAATAATGAATCAGTAGGGGACTCCACATTCCTCCCTCCTTCTTCGCTTCTCCAGCGTTTTGCTGCAAACCAATGTGAGTAGCTGACATTTAACCAAAGCCGCCGCCCCCTTCTTTCCCTCACTAGGCTCCACTGTTTTCCTCCTTTACGGACTGACCGCGACAGCTGCCAATGTTTAACTTGTCTTCGTGAAAGTTGGGAACCAACCGAAGGGTGAGTCGACCTTCATATTTTATCTCTGGCCGTTACTGACAAGCTTATGGGAGAGAGGCGCTCTGGGACTCGGCCTCTCAGTGAGCTGTAGGTGCTTCATGTCACGTCCACCCCGCTAACTCATTAAATGAGCTCAAGCAAGCGCACATCGGCATGCTTTGCAGATGGAGAGCTATACGCACTAAATTAAAACGCATTTGAGGGCGTGATATCAACTAAAGTAAATTTAAATTAAATGCACCTTTCTGGAAAGTTTCCACATTTCCTGTCTGATTTGCACTGATCTCAGACAGGTGATTAAAAGCATACGCTTTTCTTTATAAACTAGTTATTTGTCTGGCAAACAGGCCAAAATCATACCATATGTAAGAAGTGGCTGCCTATAGAGAGGGGCCCCTGACAACAGCTCAGCTCCAGCATGTGGTGTTTACTCTCTAAATACTTTCAGCAGTGGTCATTTACTTATTTACTACTTTATTTATTTCTTATCCACTTTTATTTAGACTTTGCATGCTGGGGGAAAATATAGATCAGCTTGCAGTATAAATTAGGAGGTTACACACCAGTAAAGGGGCCCCTATAGCTGCTATGATGGTGGTCCTCTCGACCTACACCTAAGGTCAGTCTACTCTGTCCATTATAGATGCAATTCAAGATTAACCATTCATAGTATCAGGTCTGCTTGTTCCATTTCCATTTATACAGACATATAGAGAGAAAAGAGGGAAAAACGCAGTGGACAGCACAGCTCCATAGGTTGGGGAAACCCTCCCCCACCCTATTGTATGTTCATGTGAACAGGGGCCCATTTTTGTAGTTTTCCATGTGTTCCAGCCTCACTGGGTTACAGCATTTCATAGAGAGAGCATCAGAGCTTGCCAAAATAAAAGCAAGCAGATCATGTTTGTACTTGATCACCTGTGGCTTTTTTTTTGCAACCTCATCCTGTTTAAGATGGCAATCAGGTATGAGTTGTAGTATTAATCATACACTCAAACAAAAGGGGTCCACCTGTTTGAATCATGCACCCAGAATGTGGTTGTCGCAAGATTTAAATGATTATCCAAAATGGGGCTTTTTTTGCTCTTTATTTTGAAAAATAAAGACATTGATATGTTTACATTTGGATGGAATCTATATGCTGTAAAAATATGTATGAATCTAAAGTGGTTAAAAAAATCAGCTGTCCTTTTTTATGGATGTAAATATATCAGCTATTTTCTGAAGCAAACTGAGGTTGTAGTTGTTGAAGTTGGAGGAATTGATCAAACTGTGAAATAATTGAGAAAGGTGGAGTTTATGTCACAGCCGGCTAATGTAATACACACAGCAGTTGGTCAAGAGGAAGTTGCATTTCTCAAAGTGTCAGTTATATTTGAGCTGAGCTGCTGCTAAATACAAAGACTGACAAAAGCAATAGACTATTTCACATCCATCACGCCTCTTTTTTATTTTTATTTTTTTCCCTTCTCTGTATGATTTCAAAATACCGCCTGTGGGACTGCCTGACTGTCACGTTTTGTGTACACATAGTTGTAAGCACTGTTTCTATATTTACCCAGCATGCCGCTGGCTCGCAGCCTATCTGTCACGTCCCTATCAGGGCTTGACGAGTGGGACGAGGAGTTTGAGTTGGAGGATGCTGTCCTCTTTGAAATTGCTTGGGAGGTTGCCAACAAAGGTAACAGTACCTGCATTTTTTTTTTCCATTGCTGCTCAGAAATTTCAAATATAGATTCTATATTTTACACTTTTAGGAAAACTCTGACTCGGTTTTGAAAGTTTTTTTATCGGCTTACTTTTAGTTGGAGGCATCTACACTGTCATCCAGACCAAAGCCCGTATGACCGCAGAGGAATGGGGGGAGAACTATTTCCTGGTGGGTCCCTACGTGGAGAGCAACGTACGAACCCAAGTGGAGCTGATCGAGCCAACCAATCCTGTGTTGAAGCGGACCATAGACAAAATGAACGCTAGTGGCTGTAAGGTACTATCATACATACTGAACACACCTACATCAATTTTATCAACAGGAATTTTATTTCTGGATTATAGATAAGAGTTATGAATCAATTCTTTAAAAGCTGCCACTGAAATTCAATTATCCAGAGTCCCTCTTTAACCTGAACCCCTCCCTGTCTGCTAAGTCTTGTGTTCCTGACGACAACTCGAGCGTCGGTGACATTTCCCCACAAAGGTTAGGAGCTGTATCGGTGTCCCACTCTCTTTCACACAGATGCTTTCCAGAAATAGATGACTGATTGGGATAGTTTTAAGGTTTTCTGCTGTGTCACTCAATGCTCTCTAAGGTGTTTGGTGTCAAAGCTAAAAGCAGCACATGTTCTATTTAAAGGGCGATTGCAGTCATTTCAACAAAGCCTCTAGGCCTTCGGTTAAAATTACACATCAGAGGATAAAATGATGGATTATAATTACAGAATCAATTCATGTTGTTTCAGCCATGTATTACTTTAAATTACAACTCAAAGAGACCAGGGTAAAACTAAAAGGAACATATTTTTAATGATTGCATGTTTTCACATTTTGTGATGTGACACCAAAAACCTATTTTAGAATTCTAGCATAGCAGCAAAAACGGTTCATAGTGGAAAGTTGGGAAGTGATTTGTGGTTTTCTATTGATAAAGATCTGAAAATTGCGGCAAACATTAATTTTCAGTCCTCCTGACTTGCAGCAAACATAGAGGCGTATTTGAGGGTATGATTTTTGCACATCTAGAGGATCACATTTTTAGCCATTCCTCTTTGCAAACAGCTCAATCTCACTCTGACTGGATAAAAATCATTTTAAAGTTCAAATGTCCCTCAGGTGTCAGATCTTCTTCCTTCATAGCTCTGCAAACGGGTTCGCTTTGTTCTTTTTCCAGCTGTAGTTTTCTTTTTGCAATCAACTTCCTAAAAGTCGGATTTGTAGAGTTCATAGCTATTATTCATCCCATCAACAGATCCTCCGACCTGAGCTGTAGTGGGAGTAGCTCCTCCAGAGTTACCACTGCTGTCCTTGTTTGTAGATGGATGGACATCTTATGTTAATATGTTTAAAAAGTATATGTAACATAAATAAGGCTGTTAAAGCATCAGCTCTAAATACCTACTGATGTATATGTAGCCCTGGCTTCAATAGTTTTTGAAACTAAGTTTTGTGTAAGTGTGGTCAACCTTGATGTTCCATCCTGGGCTCCACGAGTGTTACCTTAGATTATGATAATTGGTCCAAAACTGTGAACATAAAACCCAAAATTACTTCTAATTCTTATTAGAAACAAATAGGGCTTGCATTTATAAATGAAATCATATTTCATAGGCAGATAAAACTTTGTTTTCCTTCACAGGAAGTTTGTTGGTGCACTTTTCTAACCACCAAACTTGTTCTCTATATTTTTCTTTTTTTTTTTTTCTTTTGCAGGTCTACTTTGGGCGCTGGCTTATTGAAGGCAGTCCTTATGTAGTTCTGATTGATGTTGGCTTCACCGCCTGGTCTCTGGACCGCTGGAAGAGCGAGCTATGGGAGCTCTGTGCCATTGGCGTGCCGTGGTTTGACCGTGAGGCCAACGACGCTGTGCTGTTTGGCTTCCTCACCGCCTGGCTCTTGGGAGAGGTCAGTAGCAGGGTTTGGATGACATCTCTGTGGGTCAATAAAATTAAATTGAATTCATGACTTAAAAGTTGGGTAAAAGTTTGTAAGAGGTTAATAGAATAATGGGCTTCCATTTGAGTGACCTGGACCCTGAAAATCTGACTTGATTTGATGAACTAATTTAATGTCTAAGAGTAATCCTAGAATTAGCGATAGTAGCTTCTCTTTACTGTTTGTTAGAGGTTGTTTGTTTTATCTGAATCAATGTTCACTTAAAAAAAAAAAAAAAAGAGTTAAAGTTTAGGTTTGATGTTTACTATCCTGTTTACCAAAGTCTCACTGACTTAAAGGTGTTGTGGAGGATTTTCGTGATTTTTTTGAAGGACCTCTCCACTTAAAAAAATAAAAATAAAAATGCACATGCACAACCCTCCTACCCGCTCCGGAGAGGGAAAACCTATTAAACGCGTGCGAGAGCATGCACAAGCCCATTTCTCCTGGTGCACGCTCTGTTTAAAAGTTGCTGTTCTCACAGTTCATATAAGCTTACCATGTCCGTATGTCTGCCCCCTAACCCCTAAATCCCTCAATCGCTATATAATATATAGTGGACTGTATAGCAAACTCTGTTAACTTAATATTCAAACAGATGATCACTGCTTTTGGCTCCGTTGGTAACGTAACTCCTCTTCCACTGCGCAGTGCCTGCGCCCTCTTTATTAGTTGTCGGGTAGCAACAGCCTATGGTGACAGCGGGCCACTGTGACCACAAATCCCATAATGCTCTGCGTGCAAAGCATTCTGGGATATATCTGCCTCTTCTGAGGCCTTTCTTTTCTCCTCATATACTTTGTAGTCACTTTTTTTTTTTTTTTTATGACCCTCAGCTATTTTCAAAGAATTGCAATTGGGAGGACCAGTTATTTAGATTATCCACCCAGAAATAAAAGATCCTCCTCTATACCTTTAAGATGGTTGTTTTTTGTTTACAATCGCTGCCATTTCAAATGTACCAGCTATCGCAGGTTTAAGTCTTGGCATTCCCAACTTTGCTGAATGTCTCTCCCCTTTCTTTAGACCCACTTGCTTGTCTGCATACGGTCAGATAAAGGCCACTTGTTCAAAACAAATATTAAAAAAATAATAATAATTGTGTATAAATACTGAGACCTCTAACAAACCAGCCAAGCATACGTCTTCTTCTCTATGGCAGGGAAACCCTCCAGTGCCTTTTTCCAAATTTGCAATGGAAAATGTTTAAACATCTCAATATGGTCACCTGCATTAAGGTTATTTTTGCCCATAAAAAGCAAACCTGTTTAAAGGAGAAAGGATGCAATGTTTTTTAAAACCATCTGTTCAGTTAACCCCACAGATAGATGAGGAAACACCGGTAGAAAGTCTTTAAAAGCATTCATAACCTCTCTATGAGAGCTCAGACCTACAAGCTATTAAAGTCATTGTTTTTACTATTGCAGTATGCAGCTCAGTCTGAGGAACCTCCACACATTGTGGCCCACTTCCACGAGTGGCTGGCTGGTCTGGGCCTGGTGCTGTGTAGACAGCGGCAGCTTCCAGTTGCAACTATCTTCACCACCCATGCTACACTGCTGGGTCGTTACCTGTGTGCTGGAAATGTGGACTTCTACAACAACCTCGCAGAGGTACAGCTTCTGTTGTCTGCTCCAACATCTGATTAGGAAAGATACGAAATAAATATTTTACAATAGATATAAATTTTTGTTATTTTAATTAGAGTAATAAAGAAGATTGATTGTTTGAGTTTACGTCATGCACTTCCTCCTTGCTCTGCTCAGTTCAACGTTGATAAAGAAGCTGGAGATCGGCAAATCTACCATCGCTACTGTCTGGAGCGGGCGGCTGCACACTGCACTCATGTCTTCACCACTGTGTCACAAATTACAGCCATTGAGGCCGAGTACCTACTCAAGAGGAAACCTGGTATGTATAGCGTTGAGCTGAGCTCCCACACCGGAAAAACGATCTAGGAATAAGTAAATATTTATTGAATGAAGTGTATTTACCCTTAATTTGACTAGGTAAATGAGACAGTTTGCCAATGGAATTAGTATTTTTACTTTTATAATAAGATAATTAGATAATATGCACTTGAAATAAGACAATACAATTGTGTTTTCTTATCTTAAATGTAAATTGTCTTGTTCCATTGGCAAAATGTGTCTTTTACCTCCTCAATCCAAGAACGAATGCATGTATTTTAAGAAAAAAATGACCTATATAAATTTTGATTTCCCAGTGCGATGGAGATCATATTTCCTATTATCCTGTTCTTCATATTTTGTCCTCAGACATCGTCACTCCAAACGGGCTCAACGTGAAGAAGTTCTCTGCTATGCACGAGTTTCAAAACCTCCACGCTCAGAGCAAGAGTCGCATTCAGGAGTTTGTCAGGGGTCACTTCTACGGGTCAGAACTGAAAACATGTCAATTTCAATTCTTGGAAAATAGTTGATTTAAATGTGGGAAATAAAGATATGGAACTTTATCTCATATTGTTTTGACCATCAGGAACCTTGACTTCAATCTGGACAAGTGTCTTTTCCTCTTCATTGCCGGAAGGTATGAATTCTCCAACAAAGGTGCAGATATCTTCCTAGAGGCTTTAGCCAGACTCAACTATCTACTGAGGGTAAGTTCATGCAGTGGTTCTACTGAACCTGTTGCAGCTCAGCTGTGGAGAACTTGGCTCAATGTTCTGCTGTTCCACAGGTGAACCACAGCGATGTGACTGTTATAGCTTTCTTCATCATGCCAGCTCGGACCAACAATTTCAATGTGGAGACTTTGAAAGGCCAAGCAGTTAGAAAGCAGCTCTGGTGAGCTTGTTTAATTGAGTTATGTCTGCATTTTTAAGGTACAATTTTGTGATAAAATATCTTTCCTTTTTTTTCCCTTCCGACAGGGATACAGCTCAGACTGTGAAGGAGCGCTTTGGAAAGAAACTTTATGAATCACTGCTAGTGTAAGTTGACCACACCTGAATCTTCTCCATGTTGAACAAGATTAAAAATGAATGGTTGCAATTTTCAGAAATTGGCATAAAACCTGAAACATATAAGGTATTTATAGCGGACTAGATTTCACCACATTTTTTTTTTAAATCAGAAATCTGTATACCACTTGAATATCTTTTCACATTAAAACCATAAACTATGAATCGTTTATGTAATATGGCCAATACTGAAGCAAACAAACCTTTGTAAGAAGGCGGTCTGATCCAAAGAGGTTCTAAAACTGAACATTTTGAGTTTAATTCAATATACTGTAGATGAAAACTTACTCCTAAACAAGACGGTGGCAGTATCATGCTTTGTGGATCCTTTTGGCCTGCAGGTTTCAGGAAGCTGCTCAGAATTGATGGAGAAAGTGAATAAAGCCACAAAAAAAACAAGTTACTCCTGGAAGAGCGCCTGCTAAGCGGACTGAGATTCACCTCCCAGCAGGACAGTGACCCTACAATAGAACTGTTTAGATGGAAGCACTATAATGTCTTAAAATGGTCCAGTCAAAGTCAGTAGCTAAATTTAATTTAGAAACTGTTTTAAGAATTTAAAGCTGGCTTTTATACATGCTTTCTGTCCAACCCAACAGAATTTGAGGTTTTTTGCAAGCAAAAATGCAAAACAAAATACCATAATGTGCAAATCTATTGGAGACCTGCAGCTTTAATTGCAGCAAATGGCGGTTGACTCATTGGGTGGGCTGTGCATTTTTATTAATAAAACATTTGAAAACCATCCACAACATTCTACTTTCTATTAGTCTATCACTTAAAATCTCAATAAAAAACTAACTTCCAATTACATTTACTAAAAAGTTTAGCCCCATTTATTAGCTCCACCAAAAATTCAGTTATTTATACAAATTAGATGTGTTATATATTTTTGTTAACCTTTTAGCGGTCAGCTGCCAGATGTTTCAAAGATGCTGGACAAAGAGGACTTCACCATAATGAAGCGTGCCATCTTTGCGACTCAGAGGCAATGCCAACCTCCCGTCTGCACCCACAACATGCTGGAGGACAGCAGCGACCCCATCCTGAACTGTGTCCGCCGCATCGGCCTTTTCAACAGCTCTGCTGACAGAGTCAAGGTACAGAACGGGATGGGAGGCTTAGCTGATGCATTTGGTGGTTACTTTTACATGTGCGCACTGTGCTTATTGATCATGTTTACATTATTGGCAGCATAGGCTCTCTTCTCCAACATAAAGACCCAGTTTACATTTTGGATTGAGCAGATATAACCCTTACTGGCAGTACTCAAGTTGAGGGGGGATGAAGTCCCCCTTCTTAAATGACCATCCCCTGTAACATTTAATTTCTGAATATGTAAAATTTCTGGCAATAATATTGCCCTTTCAACATTTGGCGGGCTGTGGGCTTATGAGTTGCCCACAGTTGAAGTGGCCTACCATGACTATGAAGCTGATCCCAGTGGGAAATTTGTCCTCTGGATTATTCCCTAACTTTGTAGGGGCAGTGGTAGCCATGCCAGTCCAGGGACTGTCTGCAGTTCTACTGTAAGGTCCCTTTGTCAAAGTCAGGAGCATACCTGACGTGTAACAACCATTCCATGCATATTCCTATATTAATTAGGTTATGTCTGCTTCCAAAAAAAAAATTCCATCATCCCCTTTCAATTTTTTTTTTTTACAACTAGACTACTGATAACTGTTGCGTATGGCTTTAAAATAACCTTTCAGATCGGGTTGTTTTCATAAACGAAGACGATGACGACATTATTTAGTTGTCGCTCCTTTTTTTCATGATGACAAAAAAAAAACCTGACTAGCTAAACATGGATCTTTGATGACTTAAACATGACAGGTCATAGGTTTGACTTTCCATCAACGAGACAAGACAAAATAAAAATGAGTGGGTGTTCGGTCAGACGTTTAAAACGCACTATCGTGCTGTAGTCTGCTAAGCAGTATTAGCCGTGCTGCTGTGTCCTGTCTGTTCCTGCTCTCCTCCTGGCATGCAGTGCTACACATTCTGCATGAATACAGAAGGATCATGGCAGCAGCGACGGGGCAGAAAATAACCCATCATAATAGTTTTCATCCTGAAGACTAAGACTAAATCTAAGATGGCTGTCAAAAACGACACTGCTTTCAGAAAATAAGCTCTCCGAGCAGGTGGAATCTTAGACATATGGAAATAGATTTTCCTCTTGCCTGACTTTCTAGCTGAAGGAATTAAAAACTATAATTTCAAAGTTAAGCTAACACTTTCCAAAGTAAGACTATTTCTAATTAATTGCACCATTAATCAGATAAAGAAAAGTGATATTTGCTTTTCAAAATGGAGCTTACACTTATAAGAAAGGAAGGTTGCATATATTACTGTTTAGAGTATCATTGGGATATTTGAAACCGGTTTCATTCCTGCTAGCTGTCCATGTTCCCCCTGTGCAACTTCACCCCAAACAGCCCCCAGATCAGTGTATCAGGGATCTGAATGTGTGGCCGTTTGGATGCTTGACAGAATGTGGTTCTGTGACTGGAAACGATCTTTATAAATTCATTTATCTTTAGTATCAGGCATAAAAACCTGTTTGGTGTAAACCAGCAATTAAACCAGGCATTTTGCAGTTTGATGGGACTGTTGAACTTCCTCAGAAATGTTCTCATTTTACACATTCTGGTTCTGTGAGAACATCTAGTTGTGATCAAGGCCTCTGCTTGAATGCAACCATTTTTCCCCTTTTTCCCAGATCATCTTCCACCCGGAGTTCCTTTCATCCACTTCTCCTCTGCTTCCCATGGATTATGAGGAGTTTGTCAGAGGTTGCCACCTGGGTGTCTTCCCGTCTTACTATGAGCCTTGGGGTTATACACCAGGTATGGGAAATGAATGCTGAACTCATTGATGTTTTTCTCATGCTATGCTTGAATTGTAATGTTCCTGTTGTTAACAGCTGAGTGCACGGTGATGGGCATTCCATCTATATCCACTAATCTGTCGGGTTTCGGATGTTTCATGGAGGAACACATAGCAGACCCCTCTGCGTATGGTGGGTACTTTTATTCACTGTCCTTACTCTTAAAAAAAACTTTTTTCCACATTGATGAAAGGGATTCCATTTCACACTGTGCCCTTACCCCTGATAGGTATCTACATCCTTGACCGGCGCTACAAGGGTGTCGACGAGTCCTGCAACCAGCTCACTTCCTTCCTTTTCCAGTTCTGCAAGCAGAGTCGACGCCAGCGGATCATCCAGAGGAATCGCACAGAGCGCCTGAGTGACCTCCTGGACTGGAGATACCTTGGCAGAGTACGACTATTAATCCTGCACATAATCTTGCAGCCATGCGCTAAATTTGAATTTACCTTTATTGTGTTTTCTTCTGCTGTAGTATTACATAGCTGCCCGCCATATGGCCCTGGCCAAAGCCTTCCCTGACACCTTCATATATGACCCTCATGAGCCTTCCTCGGTAAGATTATGTGTGATATTAAGGCTGTTCACTTCAGTCTATATCGCTCTGGCAACATACCCAGTTTTTATGATTTAAAAAATAATGAGACTAGGCTTCGTACTATCAGTGATTTGTATTTGGAGCCCCAGCTACACCTGAAGCAAGAAAAATAACAACCCAATCTATGATGTTGCCATTACTATGCTTCATTGTAAGTACTGGGCTCTTGTGATGATATGCAAGCTTGTGTTTAAAGAAAATGGTCATTTCTTAGTCCATTAAACATTAATACATTTTGATAAATCGTCATGATTTTAATCTGGTGGTTAATTCTGGGAACCACAGTAGTTTAGTTTCCAATTTTCAATTGAGTTTAACATGCGTCGTCTAAAGGATGGGTAAAACTTTTGAAATTATTTATCTTGGTCCCATTTTTTTAAAATGTTTTTTTTTTTATTCCCATCAAACTTTTCTGTGTTTTTTTTTTTTTTTCTCTGTCACTTTAATTTAATTCTTGTTTCATTTTCACAGGCTTCAGGCTTCCGCTACCCTCGACCAGCCTCAGTGCCTCCATCTCCAGCTCTGTCCCGCCACTCCTCGCCGCACCACAGCGAGGCTGAAGACAACGACGAGGACGAGCGCTACGACGAGGAGCTGGAGGCCGAGAAGGATAGGGTGAACATCCGTCAGCCCTACACCATGCCTGTTAAAGGCAAAGTCATCCTTGGAGCCAATGGGAGCGGGGAGGAAGAGGCTAGCGAGAAAAACTGAGGCGTGCTCTCTCATATGCATTACAATATCATGCTGAACCTCACTAGTGAAAAAAAATTATCTGTTGCAATCATTAGTCATCCTTGCACTACAAACTTGATAAATGGGTGCAGCTGTATTCATGTGTGATGAATTTCGTAGTGGCTTTCTGTGAAAAGGAGAACATCACTGTCTGTGTCTTCCCAACCAATGCTTACCTCAGAACCTTAAAATTGTCTGTTAGTTTTGGTATTTTATTTTTCAAATACACCAGCACTGTAACCATTAGGCTGGAAGCATAGGTACAGGAACCAGTCAACTAAAATGGTAGCAAAGCCCTGTGTTCATGGTAGAGGGCTAACGGTGAATAATTTTGGTCTAAAGCATTAATAAGCTAACAGATTCATTAACATTTATTCTAACAAGTGGTCAAAGTGTAGACAAAAAGATCACCATTGGCCTCCATCTTTTCACCAGCTTGACCTCTTTATATGAAACAATCCTCCGTTTGTTTTTTCAAAAATGCCTTGTTTACCACAAACATCCCAGACTGGAAATGAGATGGACAGCACACAGACACGCCCAGAAACTAGCAGCATTGAATACAAGGGATTTTATAAAAACAAAAACCTCTGCTGGAACTCGGCATGATGTGTGTTTTTCGTCTTGTTTTCTTTTTTTTTGCCTTATTGTATAGGTTTTCCGACGGTCGCTAATGAGCCACATTTTTACATCCGTTAAAACATCAACATATGCACTTGTGTGGAGATTTGTTGATCTTGTTTAAGGAAGTACTTGTTTGTGAAAGTGGTAAAAGAAGCGTTGTGCTTTATTTGTGAAGCAAGATGAAGGTTGGATGATGGTCTTTACCAGGGATGTCCTGTCTCTGTCACTCCTCTGTATGAATTATATTGTTTGCTCCAGTGTTGCACCTGTTAAACTAAAAATAAAATGGGAAGATCTATATCGGTTAGTATTTTACCAATGATTTCTGCCTCTTGTTTTATACTGAGTATTCAGTTGATTGAAGTTTGCAGTGCTGAAGAGGTCCATTGCGCGTATCCACCCTCAGCTCTTTAATTTATCTGGGATTTGGTCGGGGATCCTTCTCCTACAGTGCAGGTGATCCTCTATGGTCTTCGTCCAACTTTCAGCACAAGTAAACTCTGCCGCCATGACCTCTGCAAACTGAAAGGAACAAAATGTTGCAAACTATTAAAGTTACTTAAATATCTCTATTTTTGTGGGTTTATATATACTTTTAGTGTCGTGCAAAAGGTATTCCATTATCCTGAACATTTCCTCGTTTATCTTGAAAGTCACAAAACAAACGGGTTTAACAGATTTCATGTGAGCAAAAGAAATGGTGCATAATTGTCAAGGTAGAAGTAAATTAGCAATAGTTTTCTAAACATATTTTTAATAAATCATTGTGGCATTCATTTGTACCAATCTCTTAAAATGCCTGAGATCATTAAAGCACTTTCATCTGTAATTACTGTGAAATATTTCGATGACTTGAGTTACAAGGAGCTGAAAAACAAGCATCTCTGCTTTTTATTCATAATTGATGGTAAACTGTGAGTTCCTTCCACCTTAAAACGATGAAACTTTGTGTTTATCTGTCACATAGAATACAAATAAAGCTAATTGGAGCTGCACAGCACTCACCGAGTAAGCTGTTCCAGAAGGAGTTGTAGGTTGCACTGCCAGTCACAGCTCCGAGTTTGGCTGGGTTCCTCCTCACTGTGTGCACTGAGAAACCATCAGGCCCAGTCACCTCCACCTCCACCACATGAAAGTCTTTCAACCTGATGTGCAAAAGCCACAGCCCCTGATAATTCAGACAAAAACCACCAGCTGCTGTAGTTTTTAGATGTGTGACATATGAGACTCACGCTGTGTCTGATACGATCTCTCCCTGCACACCTGTAAAACCGAGCGACCCAGCGGCCACAGCTGCTGCTGCCATGGTGTTGACATTGTTAGGAGCGAGAGGACACAAGTCTGCTACTGAGCCTCTGAATAAAACCCGCCTGCCTTCTCCCTCTGACCAGTCACTGAGGATGTCTCCTGTCAGCCGATAGCACGATGGATGCTTGGACATTCTTATAAACAAAGCCTGGAAGGATTCCAGACATTTTTCAGAGAAACCTCTGGTTAGCTGTTAATTCAGCTCCTCGTATGCTTATGATAGTTCTGCAAACCTGTAATGAACTCCATATGTTTTGGTTATTGAAGCATAACAAATCTCAATCTGGGTAACACCCCTTAAAAAGCTGCTTTCTCTGGCAGTTTATTAAATCTTAACATTCCATCCATAGGATTACCTTTAAAGTCCCGCTATCATTCATTCTTTGGATGTCCTGGCCTCCCCATAATGCACCACTGGGGATATAAAGCGTCCGTTCATGTTGGAGAGATGCCTGCCGCAGCTTTTCGTTCAGATCATGATCGGCGAGGGCAGACGGAGAGCCCACCTAAAAGGTTCACCATGTTTTCAGGTGAGTCACATAAAGTCCTTATGGTTATATCAGTTCTTCAAAAATAAGGTTTTACAAACATAAAAACCCGTTTTATATATATGTGGATGCTCAGAATATACTGCATATACCCAATGCACCTTTTCCTCCTTTTGGCAACTTCTTTTTAACAATTGAGCAGATGTGACAAGTGAATTTCCTCACTGTGAGATCAATAATAAAGTCAATCAATCAATTTGTGGTTTCTCAGCTAATTTTTGTTTGGCCTTCACATTTGTCTTTAAGGACAAAGTTTTTTATTCACTCCTTCCATAAAACATTCACTTTTTCATTCCCTTTCTAATGCTCTTCCACATTAAAAGTAGCTAGAGTCTTGTGAACACCCCATAATGATGTTTTTGAGTTTTTGGAGACTTATTTCAGCACCTTGCTGTCTGCTCTCAACATCAAATTGCTTGGGCCTACAAATGTCCTCTTAAAACCCCTTACTAAGTTTATAAGCTGTTACAAATCCTGTATCTGAAGGATTCATACATAGCAATGCAAGGAGCGAGGAATGTCACTGGGATTTATCATAACGCAGGTCGACACTACATGTGGAAATGACAGCTGCCACCAAGTTGGGCGACGCAAGTCACCACCGGGTGTTGCAAGACCATTCTCCATAAGGTGAGGCAAAGCCAGTAACCAGGTATCGCAACACAAATTGCCACTATGTGTAATAATGTCAGTTATCGCGACCACATATGACCACACAGATTCCCATACCAGCTCCCATTAGGTGTGGCAGCGCCAGTGACCGTCAAGCGTGAACAAGCAAGTTGACACCTGGTATGGCTACATATGTCACCACAAGGTTTCACGCACTTGCCTGTTGCGAGCTGAACTCAACCAACCACATATTTTTACGCCATATGGTTTACGCCTTTACTGGAGTAAACCAACCATGCACCAAGTGGCAGGAACCTCCCAAATTTCCGAGGGCAATTTTCTGCTGATTAATCCAGCTGCTGTAATTGTTCTTCTGCTGTAAGTGCAAAGCCTGTTTTGTTTTTTTGACTGGTGTCAAGAGTGAAATGAGGATAACAATTGTTTTTCCGGCCATCTTGTTTAGATTACGCTGGTATTAAGACACTCTGTGTCAACGTGGTTCTTGTAAAACTAAATGTGGACGCAGCTCAGCAGGAATACATTTCTCTTTGCTAAATACTAGAATAAAAATGTAAAAATAAATTCAGTATAACATTTCCGTATGCTTCCACAAACTTCATATTTTGTTTTCTGAAATTAAGCTAATAGGCAAAGTGAAATTGGAAGTCTCACCAAAGCATCACCTGCATTCAATTATATGTACCGGTATGTAGTCTGAGTGATCTATGTATGTAATCTAAGTATGTATGTTGTCTGAGTAATCTATGTATGTATTCGAATAATCTGAGTAATCTAAGTATGTTATTTGAGTAATCTAACTTATGCATGTAATCCCAGTAATCCTATTTCTAGTGTAACATGGCATCTATTGACCTAATAACAGGTGAAAAGAATGATTTAACAATTGGAAATCTATGCTATATCACTGCTGGGTGTGACCCTTTTCTTTGCCCACAACCCTAATAGACTTTCAAAGTAAGACACCAGGGACTCTACAAAATAAAAACTTCTACATTATACCGACTAATTCATTGCAGCATATGGCGCAACATTATGACCTATACTGTTATACCAGTTTTTTATTTTTTTTATTTTTTCATTTTCTTTGCAAAACATACCTTATTACATATTTAAAAACAAAGCCCTTTTCACTGTAATAACGGATCTACTATCCTAATTCAAAACAAAAAGAAAGATAAAATCATATCAAATGGATTCCATATCGCTTCTGACACTAACTGTATGCTAAAGACACAGTCCCACTAGTCCTTCAAAATAAGACAGCAGGTACTCTACAAAATAAAAGCCTAAACAATAAACAGCAATTGATTGCATTATAAAGATCATTATCAAGAAGCAAGTCGCCACTAGGTTTGGAGACTGCAGTCGCCTCCAGGTGTTGCCACACCAGTTCCCACCAAGGGTGATGATGCTATTTGCCACAAGGTGTGGCAACACCAGTCGCCATCAAGCGTGAACAAGCAAGTTACCACCTGGTATGGCAACATGTGTCACCATAAGGTTTCATGCTTTTACCTGTCAGCTGAACCCAACTATCCCCATGAAGCCTTTAATGCCAGTGCAACCACTATGCACTAAGTGGCAGGCACAACATTTCCTTGATGAATTTTGTAGTCACTGAACCCTGATTATAGATATATTCTGAAGTTATTTTTTAAAAATATGAACTTCTGCACGAGATGAATAGTATAGAATAGAAAAGAGTAGAATATGGATAACAAATCAAAATAAATAAAACCTTTGTGTGTTACATGCTTACATACTTGAACTCTGATTATCTGGAGATAACACTCAGTACCTGTTTTTCAGTTTCCAGATGCGCATTAAGCGAAAACAACACATCCTTCAAACCAATGCTTTTCTCTTTGTAGCCATTTAATGAGAAAAATAATACAAAAATCTAGACTGTCGGGAAAAGTAAACTAAGGTAAACTGAAGCTCACCATGAAGTGGGACTTAGAGAGGAAATCAATCCCGAAATCTCTCACGATCTGTGGATGGCAGACCTCTACAATCACATCGCAGCGCCTGTGAAACCATCAGTATTATTAGACTCCTTTAAAACATTCAAAAGATAATACAATTTGTTGGTACTGTTGGCTGCCTTGCAGTGGGATTCATACACGTTTCACTGTTCAGCATGCTGTTACAACCACAAATACAGAAATTTAGGGGATTTTACATCTTAGTCCACCACAATGTTTGTTGACAGGAATAAAAATTATGAACCCAATTTTCTATTAATCTAAAAAATGTGCACTACTTTATTTTGTACATGGATGTTTGTGGTTGTAACATGATATACAGTGATAATGTTTATTATGTATTAAAATTTATGAGCTTCTACCATAAAATACAGATGAGCTAAAGCTAGAAACAACAGATTGTAAAACTTGTAATGCTGAGGATATTTTTAGCTATATTCGAAACGTCATAACCTTTCTATTTCATTTTACCCTGATGTATGAATGACTCATTGAACTGATGTTTACCTTGCATTCTCCTCTCTGTTTAGACTATGATTGTAGATTGATATTATTTTTCATGCTTTTCACTTGAAATACTTTTTTTTTGCAAAGTGTTGCATGTGAGTGTATTTAAACCTGTTGGCAAAGGATGACAGGTCATCTAGTATTAGTTCAGCGGGGACTGAACCCTTGAGCTTGTCAGGATTCCTGTTCCAGACAAAACCTAGAACCAAACCAAGGCCAGGTCCAGCTTTGAGGAGTCTGTCCACCAGGAACTGCCCTAAATCACACAAAGAATCCAGCCACACACTGTCCGACAAACAATGATTAGTCCTCCAAAGAATGTGACTGTGGGGTTCATACCTAAATGTCCATATCCTACAACTCCAACTCTCAGAGTGAAAGATTTAGCATCCATAATCTGTCCAGATGACAGAAGAGGAATGAAAATCCACAATTTGATTAAATAAAACCTTTAGCTTTAACACCATTACTATATTTACTGCTCTCTCTTACCTGATGGTCATAAACCCCTCCACCTCTTTGTCTTCTGCTGTGAAGAACAACAGCCAGCCACGACTCAAAACTAGGAATCATGGGAAAACAAAGGTTAAAGTTTGACGCTGAGCAGCTTCAGTTAATCATTGTTTTCTTTGGACAGTATTAGACAGTCTGCTCTAGTTTTAGCATCTGTATTTCAGTGTTTCAGATAAATATAACTGTGAAAACGTTCATCATCCTTTGTTCTTTTTGTTTATAAATTATATCATTCAAGGTTTTTTTTTGTTTTTTGTTTTTTTGTAAACCTGAGCAATAAATATCAATAAGTCTAGTTTGTTAAAAAGGGTTATTTAAATATCAGATATATTTTTAAATAAATGCCAAATATCAGATGTTTGGATCTTAGATCAAAAACCTGTCTATTTGTATATCATATTTTATATTTAAATTCCCACCTATTACACGTAGTTCGACTTTGTCCCCCGCATGTTGATGTCATCAGCATATTACCACTAGAAAGGTGAAAGGTCAGCTATTCGTCCATGAGAACTTGAAACGAGGAGAACATTGATTATCAGAGTGCAATTAGACAGGAAGTACTAGTCTAAAGTTCATGTTCGTGGAAACCCAGTGGACTGAAAGAAGCTCCAAACATTCAAGGAGAGGGACGCAGGAGAACATCTGAGGTCTGCATGCTGGAGTCTTTTAGGGCACAACTTTAATTAGTGGAGGGAATCAGAAAACTGAGCTGACAGGGTGAAGATGGACATCCTCGAGACTGATGCCTATGACAAGCGGCAGAGGAGATATATGGTGATTTTTACCCCAAATCTTTTCATTTTTTATTACCAAATGCTTCTATATCAGTTAAATTGCCTTAAAATGATGAATTTAATAACATGAAAAAAAATGTTTTCCTTTTATCTACTTACTTTTCCTTTCTGTCAGTCCTGTGCCCTCCTTTTCTCTCTCTTGCCTTTCTTTTTGTCGTCTGCTTTATACTTCTACCTCTGGACTCCTGAACTTGTCCCATCATTAGTGTCTGCAGGGGTCAAATCAGCCCCGACTCTTCTTTTGGCTGCAGCGGTCCTGAGCTGGAATGGAGGACAGAGTCTCTTGGGTGTGGCAGGAGGACTGATCTTCTCCGCCGTTGGGGACTGCTGCTTAATATGGCCCGAGCTTTTCATTCATGGTAGGCATCTTGTTTTAACAGAACAGAGATGGAGCTAAGTCAGTTTTCAAGTGGGCTGGTTAAATCCAGTAGGGCTCCCTCTGTAGGAAGATATCTAAACTGTTCCTGTTATTGGATTAAAGTGAATTATGAGCAGAAGAATGTTTTTATTAATCTCTTTCAGGAATGGGCGCCTTCGCTGTGGCTCACCTGCTCTACTCTGTCACCTTTCTATCCAGTCGATATGCAACAGACTCTGCCTCCACCTTGAACCGTCTCCTGTATCTGATCCTTCTTATCGTGGGGGGAGCTTTCTACATCTATCTTTTTCCTTTCCTACAGAAGGCACCAAACCCTGATCTACTGACTCCCGGTGTGGGCATCTACTTCATCCTTATTACTGTAATGGCTGCATTGGCCATTCGAACCCGCCATGTAGCCACGCTATTGGGGAGTTTGTCTTTCATGGTGTCTGATGCGTCTCTGGCTCTGCAGGTTTTTAAAGTTTTGCCGCCGGTAGAGCATGGTCAGATCATTGTTATGATAACGTATTATTTGGCGCAGCTGCTGATTGCAGTGGGTGATATAAAAGCGGTGGAGAACAAGGATGACTTTTCAAAGTGGAAGCGGTCCTAAGCTGGATCCCTGAGGAATCCCTGACCTCAGAAGTATGTTTGACTAAATTCAGAACAAAAGCTGTTGATTAGATACTAGTAAAATTTTAGACTCTACTGATAGTCACAGTTTTATTTAAAAGGAAAATAAGGATATTGGTGTTCAGCATTTTCTGTGGTTTGCCAAAGTATTCATACCCAATAAACTACTTTGTATTTTATTGTGTTACAACAAACTGTAATGTAGCTATTTCCTTTAATTCAATAAAAAAGTATTTACTTTAAAATGGTGACTCATATTTTCCAAGTTTCTCTTTATTTCATGTGAAAGCCGGGCTTCTTTATTCGGTTGTTAAGCCTGTTGAAGTCAATTTTGCTCACGGAGGGACGTTTTTTTTTTTCTTTTTTTTACAATTTTCATTTTTAAAATAGTCCTAACTATATTTTTTTTTGAATTTCTAATACACTTAACATGTTTCATATCTCAAAAACACTCTGGCTTTGTGTTTGGGGTAATTTTTTTTGCTGGAAGGTGAACCTGCCCTGAGTTATAGGTCATTTAGGTTACCTTCACACAGCAGCCTGAGTGACTCAAATATGATTTTTCTTTTTACCCATGTGTGACCTGTATCTGATCTTGTCATGACAGTTTGAACAAAGCAGATGAGATTTTTTCAAACACCACCCAAAACCACATAGCCACGTGGCTATGTGGTCCTGAATCCGATACATATCAGATCTTTTCAAATGCAACCTGTGTGTGTATGGCCAGGTCCTATTCATCAGACTTGATCATTAATACTCAACAAAGCTCCTTATTCTGTGTCTTGCTACACTTAACAACCATGGCGGACAAAAATGCAGTTTTTCTTTTTGAAAAGATTACGTTGTCAATGTGCTGCTCCTTTTGGAGAAGAAATGAAAGATCGCTACAGGCCCTCCAGCACTACCATCCATGTTTGTTTCCGTAAACACAGAGTACGCCCTCTACTTATGTCATTTCGTCCTCTACTGCTCATTTCGAAAATATGTTCTTAGAGAAACTAAACTCCATTCACATGCATTGATGTTGGTGGTTGTGAGGTGACAAACGGTTCACCAGGCTTGATAACTTTTGTAAAACACTGGTGAGTATTGTATTTTTCTTTAATGTGACATCTAATTTCATGTTAATTTGTACAAGTCGTAGTATAAAACAACCCACAGAGTATATGTTAACAGCAGTATTTATTTATAAATATTTCTAATGTCCTCAGTTGTGAGTGTTTTGTATAAAACATTAATAAGAAGAAAAAAAACATAAAAAAAGAGGATAATGAGGCCAAAAAAAAAAACACTACGAAAAAAAAAAAAAAAATAAAAATAATGATGGGAAACTTTGGTGATATATGAGGATAAAAACAACAACCAAACGCAGAGGTGAAAGAGCGCCAGAGTTTAACAGACACTTTATACAGAGTAGTTATTTACACAGTACAATCCAACAGTTGGATTACATGCAAAATATCCACAGCAACTGTCGTAACAGACATAAACTGTTGCTCCGCATCCATGAGTCAGCTCATGGATGTTCTGCTTTTCTTCCAAACAGCCTCAGCGGTCCATCCCTACATCATCTGTCTGCTGCACGCTGAAGCACAGAACTCTCAAATGCTCACAGAAATCCAGTTCTTCCTGTTAATGAAAAATACGTAGACTTTAGAAAGTAGCAATGACCAAAAGCTAAAATTAATCCAACAATAATTTAGATTGAAGTCACATTAACCATGAGTTAAAAGTGAATTTGAAAATGCAACTGATTTATATATAGATACTATTTTTCAAGGCTGCACTTTTAAAAAGATGAAACTGTCCGGTGAGCTGTTTCCAAACTAAATTTTTTTTTTTGTTTTACACTTGTGTGAACAAAATGACAAATAAAATCTGCATAAAATCTAAAGATTTGAATCACCAAACAACTAAAAACTTATATAGATAAACACACATGGATTTAAGCTCCATCATCTTCCTAAACAGCTTATCCACAGCCTGCTGCTGCCATCACCATGCTTCACTGTAAACATGTAGTGTTCAGTGTGTTATAATTATTCTGTTAAACCCTAAGAATTCCTGACTGTTGTGTATCAGAACTAATGTTTTCCCCAAGTAGTTTATCTAATAAGGACAATCCTTCTGTCAGGATTTAAAGTAATCGTAATCATGTACATAGCAACCATTTGGGAATGAAATGAGGGCGGTGTTCTTGATCTAAAAACAGTGTGATAATTTGATGAGGCTAGACATCTCATTTACAAACCTGTATTATGTAATGATGTAATGATGTGGCAGACTTGAATTTTATAAAATGCTTAATTAACTTTGATTCAGGGCCACGTCAACGAGATGCGAGCTCGGTTAGTAACCTCAGCCTTCCGTAACCCTAAGCAACTTCTCTGGTCTGAGTAAAACTACAATTTCTGTCAAATCTGCTGTCATGTCTCCTGTTTATTAAATAAATATACATTATGAAGAGTTATTTAAAATGAATCTCTTCTCAGGTGAGGAACCAGACAGAGAAAGCTTCAAGGTGTAAACACAGAGTGTTCCTTAAAAAGTCTGATGTGAAGTTATATTCCATAAAAAAACAGTTAAATTGTTGTCCCGTCTAACCTGAGAACCTTTCACACGTTTTCTGAACTCTTATTCTGATACCTTGCTATGGAGTTCTATGATAAATCATTTTTTTCTCCATGAAGAATACGTGGAATACAATCAATAGATTATAACAGTCAATTTTATTTGGTGATAGCAGAGTAAAGGGGGAAAAAAAGTTATGTTTTCCCGTCTTCTTCGTAATTATAAACTACTCTAAGTTGCTCTACAACATAAACCCTAATAAAATACATTGAAGTTTGCAGTTATAATGTGACTAAATGTAGAAAAATAAACATATTTTTAAAGCTTTAGATATTATTTTCATGTACCTGACTTTCTTCTTTTCCTTGGAGCTCTTTGGTTCGCCGCTTTAGTAATTCCTCCAGACCCAAAGCCGGGTTCCTGCAGTCTTCAAGCCCTTGTGGAAAGTCCTCTACTAAACTAGACATCACAAACAAAGTTGGACATGATCACCGAACAGGAACCAGAACTTAATGCATATATGAACTTCTAGAGGCGGAGAAGTGAGCTAACTGCAGCCTCGGTGAAACACCTTGATGAGTAGTGATTTAGAAAATGTCACTAACCAGCAGAGAGCACCAAGCACGTGCTCGTGGAAAGACGAATGTGGGGTGCGGAGAACAGACACTAGCTGCTGCACCATCCCCATCGATACAACTGTTTCTGTTAGATGACAAATAAACAAATATGCTTTTGTTTTAATGTTGCATGTTAAATTCCAAAAGACAACGAAAAAGGAAAAATAGTCCAATCACCAAAAAGGATTTAACCTTAAGAAATAGCTTTAATCAGGAAAATAATAATTGAATTCACTTTAAGTTTTTAACAGAAAAGATTGAAAATATACTTCTGCAGGGTCTTGCCATCGTACCTTTATGCTCTGGGTTTGAGGTCAGCAGGCTGAGCAGAAGGAAAGCAGACTTGGTTCTGACTTTCTCATTTTCAGACTGCATACCTCTCATCAGCACTGAGAAACCGTCATTAGCAACAAACACCTGCAGTCCAGCTTCCTGCTCTCGTACCAAACCTACAGAGAAGACAGATTTATCTCATGAGTACCAACACCTCTTAAGATGGCTCATAACCTCAGCGCTGAGGAGTAAAGCCTCAGGGACTCACATGAGACGGCATAAAGTGCTTTCACTCTGACGCTGGGATTGGGGTCTGAATCTGTCAGCTGCAGCAGCTTTGGAAGCACGTCAATTTTAAGCAGGTATTCCTGGACTTGGGGCATGTTCTGAGCACAAGAGGCGAGGAGCTGAGCAGCCCTCCACCTCAGCCCACTCTTAACATGAAGAAGATACCTGGAGACACACAGCTCCAGTCCACCAAGAACCATCAGATCTGGAGACAGCATAAATAGGATCAAGTTAGTTTATATATACATATAAAAAAGAAATATTATCAAATTTTTTTTTAAACAAACCTCTGGCATTGTCCAGGTTCTCACACAGCTCAGACAACACCTCAAAGGCTGATTCCCGCTCATCTTCCTCCTCTTCCTCCCTGTCTTCCTCTCCATCTGGCTCTGATCCCTTTGGTTCGTCTTTCTGTAGGACAGCGAGGCTCTGCTTCATCTGCTCCACTTCATCCATCTGACCTTTGCAGATATCTGACAGAGCTTCTCTCAGCCATGTCTTCCTCTGAAAATGAGTCGTTTTAGTCAGACAGCATTAAAAACAATGAATGAATAGTGTAGACCTGGATGGCTGATAACAGTCTTCATCCAGGGGACGGGTTTAAAAGCTGTAGGAGTGCACTCACCTCCTCAGACATGGGCTCCACAGGAGCTGGACCCTCAGCAGCTGATCCAGCCTCCACCGCCAGCTGTAAGACCCCCTGAAGGTTCTGGGGGTATCGCCTGTTTCTGTTCTGTTCTGACATGACTTTAGTAGCTGTACAAAGAAATCAGACATGTCAAAAAGTGAAATTTAACAAAGAACTTCCAAACGAGCCTATATTAAGTTTTCTGTTATATATAATAAGTTATTTTGAGGATGTACGTTTGTATAGATCATAGAAAACAACAACAAATCTAAACTGGATTCTCATATTTTTCAAAAAATTTTTATGACCAAATATACGTATAATCAGCTTACCTTGAAAGAGTCCCGGTGTTCTGTAACACAAATAAGGCAATGAGGTTAACTTCCAACTAACAGCAGATGAGCGTGTCCCCTGTTATAAACACAGACATGTGAAAGCGCTAGAATATTCTAGCTAGCTCAAGTTGAGCTCACGAGTGGTGAGTGGGTCGCCATGCTGTACCGTAAAAAGTAAAGGCAATGGGAAAGCCCTTTTTTGATGGTACTCTTTGGTAAGAATAAAAACAAAACATTTTCCAATTTTAAAATGAGTTTCCTATCTTTGTGTTTTGCATATATGTACCCATTTATAACTACAATTTATAACCTCCAAACTTAAATGTTGCAAAATAAGATTTACATATTAGTACAATTACGGTAAGTGATTTAGAGAAACTTACAAAGAGTAACAGTACTTTTTAGTTCAATCTCCCACTGTCAACCACCAAGCACTCCATATGTATTACACCATATGTTATATTTATCACATATTTGATATCACATTTCACTAAATTATATAATGTAATTTCTATTATAACAGTATTCTTATACAGTATAAAATTTTAATAAAGGTAAAATAGAGATTTTTTTATGTGTGTTATTATTTGTTACTTTTATATTCTAAATAATTATACAAGAAAAACAGTGCAAACGTTTGCGTTTGATTTAAATAAGCTTGGCAGTGTGGGAAAATAGTAAATTTAAAACCATCAAAAACTGTTGGCAGTCATTCTGGCTCAGCGTGATGTGTCAAACAAATATAAGGCATCTTGATAAAGTTTAAAAATACTTAAAAATTTAAAAGCGAAGATAGAAAAGTAAAGATATTTTAACCCGTTTTTCTTCACTGTGACAGCTTGTGGTCGTGTCAGTGTATCATCTTGATATTTCCATCATCTTTGGTTTGTCTAACCATCCAAGATGGCGGCGCTTGTGGGGCTGCGTGCTTGTTTCTCCGGTAAAAACGCTAGTATTTATTTACTCTGTGATTTTTTTTTATGTTTATTTTAACGCAAATTCAGACACATAACTGTTATTGATTTTCCGACCAACACCTTAGGTTGTTCGGTTGAGGATAAATGTGAGAAATACAGACAGAAGGTGATGTTGTCAGTTGGTAGCGCAGCAAGGTCACGTTACTTCGGTAAGGGTTAGCTAACAATAGGAATAACTGCGGACAAAGCTTGACTTAAAGAATGGAATTAAAAGAACGGATAGCGAAAAAACTAATACCTGCATAAATATGTAATTATAAATGTAAAGACTAGTATTCTAGATGAGCACACAGTTTGTTCCGGTGGGTCCGCCTGTTAGCTGCTGCAGGAGCCTCTTAAAACCTGAGATAAAGCTAAACTGTTCTTATCTGGTTTAACTCAAATTAATAACACTTTGGGCCCCATCGGTTGAAATATTCAGCCACATATTGATATTAAGCACTTAGAAGCTTTGAGGTCCTTAAGGCAACAAATACTCAGCATAACTGCTACTGTTACACAAGAGGCCGAAAATGATCTAACTGGTTATCATTCAGGTGATCCTCTCAAATACAGGTGTTTTTCTTTTTTGACTTTTATTATTGAGATTAATCAGGAAATGGTTCTTATGAAAATTATTTATAAAATGAATTTAATCTCAGCTAAATTGGAATAAACTGCATTTCATACTCTTTACACACATAAGCAATTTTGGAATTTATTTTATTTTTTTTTTATCTTAAAATAAATGTTTTTTTTACAGATCAGACAAAATATTTGCGCAGTTTGATTGGAAATACAATGAGATAACTGCATTTACACACAAATATGCAAAAATGTCTAACATTGTTTGATTATCCTTTAAAAATAAAGTTATTTCTATCCCATGTTATTGATTTGAGATACAGCCAGAATAAATTTAAAAGCAGTGTTCTAGTCCTTATTGCTGATAATCTACTTGATCAAGAGATGCATTTTGCAGGAGTGAAGAGGATAAACAAGACCGTGCATTTAAATATTTCTCTCATGACTTAAATAACCAGTGCAGAGCAATTTGAAATGATGAAAACAAAAATAAAGTTCAGTTTGAATAGAAATGCCTTCACAAACTGCAGTAGTAGCCTGTATGTTCTAAACACACATGATGTCTTCTGCCCTCAGCCCTTCAGCTTACTTCGCCGAGCCTTCTGCACAGCTCCTTTAAACTCGTAAGCATACAACAGATTCCCATTTCCTTTTTCGTACCTGTTAGTGTAGATTTTTGTCGGTTGCCATTCCTTATTGGTCCTTCCTGCCTAGTGTGCTGTGCCTTTGAGTCGGCGGACGTTTGCAGCTGAAGCCAAGAAAACGTACAGCAGAGAGAAGCCTCATGTGAACATTGGAACCATCGGACACGTCGATCACGGCAAAACCACCCTGACTGCAGCCATCACAAAAGGTAAGATCTCTTTAGATTTAAAATGAGAAAATAAACTCTGTTACGCTTCTAGATGTTTTTTTGTTGTTTTTTTCTGTCCAGTGCTCTCTGATGCTGGTGGTGCAAATTACAAAAAGTATGAGGATATTGACAATGCTCCTGAGGAAAAGGCCAGAGGAATTACCATCAATGCCTCTCATGTGGAGTACACCACAGCCAACAGACATTACGCCCACACAGACTGCCCTGGCCACGCTGATTATGTCAAGGTAATCTGCTTTTCTTTTAGCGGCACACAGCCTGAATATAGATGCACCTAACAGGCCTTCTGCACTTTGATGATAGTGTTTAACAGTATCTAGATAATTATGGAGAGTGACGAAAACTATTAGCATTCCTAGACTACCCCACAGATGTTGTTATGCTCCATCCGTCGGTCGGTCTGGCATGTCATGTCTAACTGTCCTGACCTACATCCATCAATCCAACTTTTTAATTTACATTTAAAGGAGAATTTGCCACAAATGACCCTAAAATCCAGGAAGTTTGAATTTCAGAATTTGGTTATAAACGTCACACAGTCTGATCCCTGCTCTCCGCTCTCAGAACATGATCACTGGCACCGCCCAGATGGACGGCTGCATCCTGGTGGTGGCTGCCACCGACGGTCAGATGCCTCAGACGCGGGAGCATCTCCTGCTGGCCAGGCAGATCGGCGTTGAGCACGTGGTGGTTTTCATCAACAAGGCTGACGCCGTGGAGGACAAAGAGATGTTGGACCTGGTGGAGATCGAGATCCGCGAGCTGCTGACGGAGTTTGGTTACGATGGCGAGAACACCCCTGTTGTGATTGGCTCTGCCCTCTGCGCCCTGGAGGTCGGTGAAATAAAGGAACCGACTTGGCTGTCGACACGTTTTATTGAATCCTTTGCCAAATGCGTCTCTTTTATTTCACGTTGATGTTTTTGCTCCAGAACAAGCAGCCTGAACTGGGGGTAAATGCGGTGATGAAACTGCTGGAGATTGTGGATTCTTATGTTCCTCTGCCCAAAAGAGAGCTGGAAAAACCTTTCCTCTTGCCCATTGAAGGTGTTTATTCAATCCCAGGTAAGCTCCTTCCTCTTTTGGCATCTGTAATACCAGGCAGGTGAAGAAGTCCAAACACAAACTTTGGCATTCATCCTTCAGGCAGGGGGACCGTTGTGACCGGTACGTTGGAGAGAGGCCTCATAAAGAAAGGAGATGATTGTGAGTTTGTGGGTCACAATCGTAGCTTCAAGTCTGTGGTTACAGGTGAGTGAACTCATTGTGACCATGCGAGTCTGATCAAATATGTCTGCTCTCAAAGCATATTAGTAGAACCCTGACTAGAACTATGGTACCTTGCAGTGGTAATTAAAATACATCTGGTATAATCTGTTAACTATCAGTCTGACCTTTATAGAGGAGTGCTTAGAAAAAAATATAATTTAGAGGCAGCAAAAGACATAAAGGAGAGAACCTCTAGTCAGATGAGACCATAACTGAACCTTTACACATGGTTTTGATAGGATGTCTGGGAAATGTACCTTTACATCATCATTCCACCATGAAAACTACTGGTGCTGATGTGGGTACCATCTTCTTCAGCAGAGACAGGGGAGATGGGTGGATGGCGTAAAATACATGACAGTCCTAAAGGCTACCTGAGAGGCTGCAGAAGACTCTAAAGCAGGACTGAGGTTCCTCTTCCTGTACCAGAGGCATAATAGAATCGGTTAGACCCAGATTTTGGTGCTTTTTATTATTTGTGGCAGTTTTTGAAAACTAGTCTGTCTATTTTAACTGAGCAACTTGAAGAGGGAGGATTTGCCATCGAATTTCTGGTTAGAGAAAAACAAGTAATATTTAGCCAACATTTGGAAGAAGAATGTTTTCAAAATGGCTAGGACAATAGAACATTGTGACAAACACCAGATACAGCGCTGGGACTTGCTCAACAGCTGATACCTCACCATGATGTGACAAACCGGTAGATGGCAGTAGTATTCTTTGACAAACAAGGATTTCTCCAGTAAAGCACATTCAAATGAAATTACTATTAATTAAAAACACGAATCATTTATTGAACAGTATGTAACAATTTCATATCTAAAGAACTTTTAGAAGTTTGAATTCTGAATATGACCAGACTTTTCCAGAAGGACCAGATGTCATTTTCCTTCCACCTTATTATATTTTCCTTTGAGTGGACCCATTATAAAATCCAAATAAAATGCAGCCTGTTGATCTTTGTCAAAATGAAAACGTACGTTTAGCTCACATGGTCCCAGCAGCTGATCTGCTGGATCATTTGTGGCAGAAATTTAATCCTAAATCTGTGAGACGCTCAAAACGTTCCCCTGATCTTTGTTTCAGGCATCGAGATGTTCCACAAGTCTCTGGACCGCGCCGAGGCAGGAGACAACCTGGGCGCCCTGGTTCGAGGCTTGAAGAGGGAAGACGTTAGGAGAGGGATGGTGATGTGCAAACCTGGGTCCATCATGCCTCACCAGAAGGTCAAAGCACAGGTAGGAAAACTCAAAGAGTTAGGTAAGATAAAGGTTCAAATTAGGGTTTTTTTCTGAGTTTTATTCTAAAACTGGATCTTAAACCAATGAATGAATGAATGAATATTTATTTATTTCAGACAATAATAATAATAACAAATTAACAAATAAAATAAATAAATCAAATTAACAAATAAAATAAATAAATCAAATTAACAAATAAAATAAATAAAACAATTCCAATTTCAGAAATGATC